TATGGGCTTTCCGACGGAATATTCCGTCGGAAATGTAATGTTTCGACGGAAATAAAATCCGTCGGAAATTTCCGACGGATTATTCCGTCGAAACGTTAAATTTCCGGCGGAAATAAAATCCGTTGGAGATTTCCGACGGAATATTCCGTCGAAAAATAATTAAATAATAAAAAAACTAACCTTACAAAACCTAAACAAAACCCGGTTCCCCCTTTAATTCTCATTTCTCTCTCCTCTCCGTCACTCTTCCTCTTCTCTTTCCTCTCTTCTTCTTCTCTCTCCTCTCTTCTCCTTCTTCTTTTACGTTTCTCTTTCCTTCTCCATCTCCTCTTTTCTTGTTCTTTTCATTCCTTTCTCCTTCTCCTCTTTCTCCTTCTTTCTATCTACGTCTCTTATTAACATCAACAATCGCAACAACAACAACCACAGCCGCAACAACCACCGCCGCTCAACACCTCCTTCAACCACCAATCGTTGCGTCGTCCGCCGTCAATCACCGTAGAAGGTCGGAAATATAGATTAAATATGGGTTAGTTTGTAGATCTAGGTTTATTTTCCAAAAATTTATGATTATAATTAATTTTTATGATGAAATTGTAATATAACTTTTTAAATTTTGTAATGTAAGTTTGTAATTTTTCGGATTTTCGGACTATGTAATATATAAATTGTTTATTTCGATTATGTGGTTTTTGTTTCGATTTTGTGGTTTCAATTTCGTTTTTTTTTTATTTTTATTTTTGAAGTTTCGGTTTTTGGTTTCGATTTTGTGGTTTTTGTGGGTTGTGGGGGTGGCGAGGTGGAGATACGGTGGTTTTGGGGGTGTCCAGGTGGAGATACGGTGGGTGTGGGTGGGGGTGGCCAGGTGGAGATCGATACGGTGGTCTAGGGTGGGTGTGGGTGGGGGTGGTGTGGGTGTGGGTGGGGGTGGCCAGGTGGAGATCGATACGGTGGTCTGGGGTGGGTGTGGGTGGGGGTGGTGTGGGTGTGGGTGGGGGTGGTGTGCGTGTGGGTGGTCTGGGTGGGGGTGGGTGGTCTGGACAGGTGGGGGTGGGTGGTCTGGACAGGTGGGGTGGGGGGCTGTTTTTTTTTTTTTTTTTTACTGACTTTTCCGACGGAATACTCCTAACCCATTCCGACGGAAATTTCTGTCAGAAATTTCCGACGGAATTTCAAATAAAGTCAAAAACAGCGCCGACAGAATTAGATCAGTTGGAAAATTCGTCGGAATAACGCCTTCCGACGGAATTTCCGCCGGAAAAGGTCAAATTTCCGACAAAGGCTGTTACCACAGACTTTCTCCGACAGAATTCTGTCGAAAAGCCTGATTTCGACGGAATTTTCTATGTTTCCGACGGAATTTTTCCGTCGGAAATTAGTTGTTTCTTGTAGTGAAATAGGTGTATTGACAAACGTGTAAAAGTCAAAACGTATCCTATAAAAGGGACAAAGCTAAGGGAGTATTATACTTTAGATATAGGGTAATTTTGTTAAAATTTAAGAAAATTTTACCAACAACTACCATCATAATGACTACTTTGAGAACAATAACTACCATTTATTTATTAATTTTTTTTGTAAAAAAAAAAATCTAAAAAAATCTACCACAAAAACCTTGAGTAACACAATTACATTTAATTTCTTAGCAATAATCTCCAATTGAGGGGGCTAAAAAACCGCTCGTTTCGACGACAATGGAAGGGAGGAGGGGCGGTTTCATCGACCTGAGAAGGGAGGGGCTATTTTGGGGATGGAGGAAGAGGGGTGGTTTCGATGGTGTAGGTGGGTCGCCCGAGTGGTTTTAGGGGTAGGGAGGGGCGACCGGCTGTTATCGGTTGTTAGGGGAGGCGAGTGGTCGAATTTCGGTCGAGCTGGGGGTTAGGGCTAAGGGGAGGAAGGATGGTGGCTGGGAAGGGTTTTTAATTTTTTTTTCTTGTTTTACAAAAAAAAAAAAAAAAAAAAAAAAAAAAAAAAAAAAAAAAAAAAAAAAATTGGACCAATTATGTTGCGACACATCACACATGGCTTTTACAAAATAATATTCACCCTTTCTTTAAGTTACTGGTAAATCGACCTAGTGGAAGAAAATCAACCCAAAATTTCATAGTGCTCCCTAATAAATGTAAGTTGGGATTATTGAGAGTAAATCACTGAAAGTTCGGATTAATAAATTAAAGTGATTCACTATGGATAAAACTAACATGCAACAACAATTTATCAAGACTAAGAGAGATTCAAGTGACTTGCAATAACAAAATAAAATCAGAAAATAAATAGTGACAAGTGAAATAAGTTACTATTGAAGCTTCAAATGTTGAATAAATGCTGAAAATCTGAGAATGAACCTTGAAGTTTCTTCTACAATGATTAGATTTTTTCAGAGTTTCCAAACTAAATCATCCACTAATTAAATGAACTAAGGTGCTAACTAAGAGGAAGTTTTTCTTTCTAAAAACATTCTACTCCGCTAATCTCTCTCCCTAAAAAACGGTCTAAAAAAGAACTTAAATAGTCCGTATAAAGTCGGTTGAGATCGGGAAAAGGTCCGACCGAACTCTGGGTAGATTCGGTCGAACCTCCCTGATCCTTGCTTGGTCGAAATTTTGAGGTTCGACCCTTCCTGCAAAATTGCTGAAAACTGGTTTGAAACTGCCTCCTTTGCACCTTGGAGGTTCGGTCAAACTTTTCAAAAATTTGACCACACCTTGGTTCGACCAAACCTTTCAGAGGTTCGGCCACACATCCTCTTGCACTTCCTCTTCTTGCTTCCTATCCTTCCCTTTTGCTCCTCTTGCCTTTGTTCATGCCTCCATACTTGGCCAAGGGGCCTCCCACCGTGCTTAGGACCGCCATGGAACCTACAAAAGATAGCAACAAGAGCATGGGGATGATAAAATAATGCATAAAAATTATCAAAACAATAAGCATACTTTTCATCAACACATAAAGAATCCATAAGAGGAGAAATGAGGTAGAAAAACCTAAGAAAAATAGGAGGAAAGAGACCTAAACACTACCCCTAAGAGTGACATAAATGTCACTCATCATGGTGTTACTTATGTTTGTTGGGAGATGTAGCAAAATTTCAATTTCAGATTTACATAAACCCTTGTTGAAGGAGGATGGTAGTAGGTGTTGTTAAACCCATTTCACCATTTGTATGTGATAACGGTAAAAGTCATTACAACATCATGACCTTGTATGAGAATATATAGTCCCTACATCCCTATAGTTTTTGTTTTCCTATTTTAGAGACCCAAAATTTTGTTCCCGTTTCTATTTTTGAATAGTATGTAAAGACCATTATATCCTTATTTTTTGACTTTATTCATTGAACTTCCTAATTTACCCTTAACTTATCCACTTGCATTGTACTTTTTTCACTTTCTCTCTCTAGCTTTTGTCTATAATTGTACTTTTCACTTTTTTCCCCTTAAATTATACACTTGCCTTGTAATTATGTCTAACTTTTGTCTAGCTTTTTTCGACTTCTCTTCCCATTTAATAAATACCGTGAAAAAAACACAATAGGAACTATATTATGGGACGGAGGGAGTATATGATATGGTTTTGTCAGATCGCAAGAAATGTGATTGACATGTATGAAGCATAGATCTCAAGAAAATTTCATCCATTTGAATTATTGGGGTCCCTTAGGGTAAGGCATACTGATTTTGAGTTGTCTCCGTCATTTCAGCAACATTGATAGACTTTTAGTTGTATGTTAGAAAATACCTTGCACAACACAAAACATCATCACCAACATCCCTTGTTCTATCAATAGTCCCATCGCATATTTAAATGTATATTGGTAAGTCTTATATGCGTTGTAATAACTTAAAGGTAAATATCGTTAATGACCTTAATTGGTATTGGGTAAGGGCTTCTTATGCCAATAGTAACTTATGTTACTTTACTGTCCTTTCTTTTATTGTAAACTCAGTTTAATTAATGTAATTTCAGTTTTTTTTTTATAAAAATCTAAAAAACTTACAAAGAATTGATACAAGCTTTGGTGTATGGAAATATTAAAAACTAGGTTAGGTCTCGTGCCATGCACGACAATTTTAAAAAATTAATATCAACTTTTCAATATAATTGGTTATTTTACAACAATAAAACAAAAAACCTAAAAACACTATGGACAATCTTTGATTAAAATATGAAAGATAAGTGGATATATATAATAAGTATAAATTGAATAATTTGATATTCTTAAATACAAAGTAATAAAATTGTCTATTAAGTAATTGAAATATTGATGTGTAGATATTGTATTCAAATATATAATTATATATAGTATCAACATGTTTTGGATGAGGGCAATAAATAATACTGTAATATTGATCTTCATGAGATTTTTGTGTGTGTTTATATTAATATTATGAAGTATAGTCTAACTAATTTTTATATATTAAGGTTGTAAATAGTAATGTTTCTATAAATAAAATAAAATAATTTAATACAATAACTCATTTTCACTTAGAGAAGGGAAAGAGCGGGGTTATTATCATTCAAGGGGTAGTAAAAGTATATGCACTACTCTGTTGTGAATTCTAATAAATAAATAAACAACTTTAGGGGAAAAAATAATAAATACTCTCGTGTAGTAAATCATTATATGTCGCAAATCATATTAATATTTTCTATTATAGTCATAAATGTTTGTGTGAAAAGGTAAATCAAATCTTTTATATTTAAAGTAATTATCTTTGTTATTAACATATATAATAAATTATTTTCGTATAAGATTTTATTCTATAATAAAAAAAAATTAAGGACACACCAAAAAATGACACGTGTCATTGCTAGTACGTCTTTTAGTATATAGTAATATTAGTATTATTATTATTATTATTGATATTTAAAACATGTTTACTTAAAACCTTTATAAAACACACCTATATCGTAATTAGACGATCATATAAAGATTCACCGTATTTATTTATCAGACCCATATTATATTACTATGGCGGGTCATGGCTTTTAAAGGCCTCCATTCCTCTCTGAGTTATTTCATTGAAGCGCACTCAACGTTCTCCATTGAAGCGTTCTCCGTTGAATCTAATTCTTATATCCCCCATTGAAGCAGCTTCTAAGGTAAGTTGTTTGTTGTTGTTATCATCACATCAATTTCACAATGTAGGGTTTATATTTGATCTAATCTAATTTAATTATCAGTGCTTTAAGTTTAGGGTTCGTAAATTCTTAGATTATGAAACATCATATCCAAAAGAAAAGAAAATTACGAGCGTAATATGATTATTGAATCAAATACCCCTAAAATTATGTATTTTTGGAGATAATTGAATATGAAATCAAATCTCTTTTCCCCTGCTTATGGCTACTGGGTCATGGTATATGATGGTAGAGTATTGGTATCGGAAGTTGGATGCTGGTATGGCATGTCAAGATTGTCAACCTTCACATTACAGTGCCCATCGTGCCAGCCATTGTTAATCTGTTGGTTTCGAAGCAATTCTGAACCTTTTGTTTATGCAACACCATGAACCTTAAGCATTCATTACTTTGTCACTTTGTCCTCATTCCTGGGAAATGCTGGTGGCACTTAGATTGCTCATTATAAAGCATAATACTTGTCAAAGCCCAAGTGCCAAAAAGGTGCTGGTGTCTATCTGCTTCTGAATGTGGGATTATTTAGCAGTTTGTTAAGCCAACCCAAGTTACCTAACCAAATTCTCTAATTTCACCTGCTTCTCGTCGTGAGCTATTTGCTGGTCCTTCCAAAACACTTACGCTTTGACACCTAGTTAATCCTTAATGATGGAATAGTGTTATACTTTGAGGAATTCATGATATTGACGGTCTTGCTCTCTTGTACTTATTCAATTTGTTCCAAGTCCAGCAAAGCAACAGGCTACAGGATTATTATGCCTAAAGTTAAATCTTGATGTATTAGGTACATTCTTATCAAGTTACCATAAAATTTGGTTCTTTGAGATCCTTCGACTTTGTCATTTCGAATCTTTATTTTTGAGGTATTGTTAACTTGATATGCTCTGTAGGAGATGACCTTTTATTAGTTTTACATATACGAGTTCCATTTCAGCTTTTCATCTTTATGATAAATGGGCAGGATCTGATGGTTTGAAGAATTCACCCTTGATACAATATGCCATAAAGTTTGTGCCACTTTATCTTCTGATTGCAGAAAAGGTTCTGTTGTAGGTTGATGGCTGCCCTATCAACCTATCATCTTAATGCTTCTGAAGTAACACGAGCCATGAAGGCTACCTTTTCATAAATATACTAATTTTCAAGTTACATCAAAGCTTGAGTCCTTGGTGATGAATCAATTTGGAAATTGGAATTCTATCATAGAGTAGTTAATATGTTAAGGCCATATATTATGAAATGATCTGTAATAGACTAGCTTTAGGAGGGGCACTTTGGGAAGTGTAATAGACTAGCTTTAGGAGGGGCACTTTGGGAAGTTTAGTATTATTAGGTTAATAGTCTTTAGCCTTAGTATAAATAGAGGGAGAGGGGAAAGGAAGGGGTAGGCAGAAATTTATTAGGGAAACCTAGAGAGAGTCATGGCCTAAAGCCATTTTGGAGAGTTGTGAGCTAAACTCACTATTGAAGACTGATAGCCTTAAGCTATTAACCCTATCTTTTGTAATCTTTACGCCATTATCAATCAAATTTTAAGCTTTAATGTTCAGTTACTTGCATTATTAAACCAGAAATATTAAGCCAAAAAATAAGTTCATCACATGATCTAAGAACACTGAAGTGATGCTGGTTGTTTTGGTATTATTCCTTGGATAATTCCTCTTTCAGAAACATGTATGAAGACTTTGAGCACTGACCGACATACAATCTATTTGTAACCTTGTTTCAAGTGTACTTTTGCACTTAAACTACTAGGGTTATTATACTTATCTCCAGCCCAAATTCATCTTTTTTGTATCTGATTTTCATCCCTGTTTTAGTTTTGCATGTGTGTGTTGTGGTGTCTTTTTGATGTTTTTATTCTTGAAGCTATTTCAGATTTCTGTGATAGCTAATTGACTGCTCCTTTCTTTTGGGTAATCATCTTTTCTATTTATTTTGAAGTTTCAGTTCCTCACTTAAATTTGTAGTTCTTTTAGCTGTGCATTGCGTCTTTCAATAAGTTAATAACCATTTGCCCCATTTTTCCACAGGATTGCAGGACGCTGTTGACTGTGAAGCTAAAATGGCGGTAATCACTAACTCTTGCTATATTGGTGATGGTGTTATATGCAAAGATCAATCTTATATACATAGTTCTTTTATTATGCAGTTTTTAGTAGCAAGTTCAGAGTGTAATTTGTCAGTGGTTACAAGTGCATAGCTGATTGTTATCTGATTTAATTGATGTATGATGGTATTGTCTTGGTTTTTTAGTATGCCAGCATGTGAAAATGTTTTCATGATTGTGAATGACATTTGCATGCCACTGTCATTTTGCAGGATCATAACATGACATTTGCATGCCACTGTAATGCTGTTTCATTGTGATTAGCACTCAACATATATGGGATTTACTATTTTTTCTTTAATAACTTCATTCTTTTGTCATGTTATGATGGTTATGTGATGTCTTGGTCTTAAATCATCTGCTAATGAATTTTAAACCCTTGATTTTGCTTGTCATATCAGAAATCAGGCTGTTATGTAATCCCTCTGTAAAGTACATTCAAATGCGTTTTTTTCCTTGGTCGTAGCCCTTGTAAACCCTTTGTTGTCCTGCTGTCATATAACAAAACCATTATTGTAACCGATGTCTTCGCATGCATGAAAGTTTTATTGCTAGCTAAAATGGGGAAAGAGGTACTTATGTAATGTTGATTTGTATGATACCCTGTGTACTGTAGATGCTGCTCATTTAGATTGCGTTAGCCCCTGAATTTGGGGAGGTGGGGGGGGGGGGGCATTTATTCATTTGCAGTGTGTATATTCAGTTGTAAGTTTTGTGGATTTTTACCACATTTTCGCATATTTTTCTCTTCTGATTTACCAGTCTTTGAAGCCTTTTTTTTTTTTTTTTCCCTTTGTTTTTTTTTTTTTGTGTAGACTGTCCCAGTTAACCCAAAACCTTTCTTGAACAATCTGACTGGAAAGCCAGTCATTGTGAAGCTGAAGTGGGGAATGGAGTACAAAGGTAACGTGTTTGTTCGTCACCTATATATATGCTCATGAGCCCAACATTATTAATAGGTTTTAAGCCAAAAGAATAGAAAAGGAGGGGATGATATCTTAATTTCTTTGGTAGTTGCAGTTTCATATTTGTTTTGATGTTTTTTTTATTTGCTTGAGAATTTTGTAAGACAATGTTTGTCCTATGCAATCTTGCAGGCTATCTTGTGTCAGTTGATGGGTACATGAACCTACAGGTACATACTTGCCTGTTCTGAATGATACATCTTCTTAAGAATTAATTAATGTTCTAATCCGTGTTCTATTATTGACTTTCATAATTGCTGATGTTTTTTTTTTTTTTTTATTGATAACTTGGTTGCAGCTGGCGAACACAGAAGAGTATATTGAAGGCCAGAAGACCGGAGATCTTGGAGAGATTCTTATCAGGTTATTAAGCTAGACTTCTGTTCAAATATAAATATCTCAGTTTGGTTTTTGTTTCTGGATCTCTTTTAAAAAAATTCTGTGTGCAACATTGCAACTGTTAAGTTATGGTTTAATCTGTCAACTTTATTGGTTAGAATATTGGTGAAGCGGTGTCACTTTAAAGTTTGAAATTCATGTTCAGACCCTAACTGTAAACACTTGAAGTTTATGTCTGATTTCCTGTCAAAAAAAGAAGTGTATGTCTGATTTAAAAAGAAATCATTTTTTAGCTGAATTTCTTAATTCTGATGCAATGAAAATCTCTAAGGTAACAAACTTAAGTTTCCTTTGTTTGGCTTCTTGCTAGGAAAGATAAGAGACAATAAACTAGGAAAATGGAGGGAAGGAGAGGAGGAAGGTGAATGATTGGGAAATTAATGTGGTGTCATGTCATTCTTTTGTTTGAAAAGTTTGATCTTTTACATTCTTTGGAAAACTATTATCGGTATAGGAAAATTATTTTCAACCCTTTACAAACAAAAGGAGAAAAATGGTAAATCTAGATATCTTTGAAAATTATTTCCCCTAACCAAATGCTGCCTAAGACTATATTGCATTATTGCGTTTATCTTTTTGAAAATGTCATTATTGCATTATTGCCCAAGACTAACACTAGAATTGTGCTGTGTTTTTTCTTTTTATTTGTTTAGATGCAATAACATACTGTATCTCCGTGGAGTTCCTGAGGACGAGGAGATAGAGGATGCTGACAGAGATTGAAGAAGAATAACCTTTTTGCTCAAGATGCAGCTGATACAATGTTATGCAAAAACTCAGTGAAGATTGAGTAATATTAAGCTCATGTGAGGTAGTTATTGTTAGGCGTAACTGTTGAATTTTCTGGATGTGATGCATTTGATGTAAAAGATTAACTTTTTATGAAAATAGAAATTTCTTATTTTGATCATTGCAAAATTATGTTAATTGCAACAGTTGAAAGTAGAACGAGGGTTCTGTCAATTTACTGGACAGTCTAATTGTAGGGATCAACCGAAGGGGGCAAGGGAATTTGGGAATACGATTTTCCTAATATATTTTCAAAAATACTCATCTCATTCCAATTAGTTGGTTTAATAATCGAAGAGAATCCTTGTACATGAGAAGTTGAGAACATTTGTGATTATTAAGCATACTTGAAATTGAATGGGGTCAGAGGAGCAAGATCAAGACTGAAAAAATAGACTGACGATATCTGCGGAGCATAACATGGGTTTACCAAGAGTGTACAATCAACAAACACAGAAATGTCAGCCATAGCTAGTTATACTATAACAGCAACGACAAAGCCTTAGCCCCTACATTTAGGTCGGCTGCTATGGCTAGCCATTCAGTACCAAAAAAAACAAGCTCGTGTGTTGCAAAAACCAAAAAGGGGAGGGAACATCCTGAGACTAGCTAGAACTTAAGACATCAAAGAACAAACCAAAGCTTATCGTCGACAATGAGCTTTGCACATTATGCAGTCATAGAAGCAAAATCCACCACAGTGAAGTGGACAATCAAGCTTCATTCCTGTGCACCTTCCTCCTCCCATGCATTGTGCAAATTCTCCTAACTTAAAGTTTCCACGACCATATCTTTGCTTTTCATGTCGCATTCTTCCTCCTCGTCCCCCTCCACTACATCGGCCCCACTTCCATGACCCTGCACCGCCACCTCCCCAACCCCATCCTCCCCCACCTCTACCGCCACCACCACCACCACCTCCACCTCCACCTCCATTCTGCCGTTTCTTGTCCCCTAAGGTAACTGTAGTATAATCGGAAGTAGTAATATCATGTGGTAGGTTAACAATCAAGGCGGTCGCATTATTGGCTTGAGTTGTGGATGCATTAACACTTTGGTTGCTACTACATAGGCCAAACAAGGCCATAGAGAATAGAAAAATGAGGGTTAAGCTTCTTACTATCTCCATGATAACTTCTTAGTTTAATTCACTGCCAAATTATGCAGAAGTTATGCAGTATATATAGTATGTACTATAATACGTAACGCTTACATGTTACGGTTACTCGACATCCTTATCCTACACTCATTCCCACTCCTCAAGAGAGAGAGAGAGAGAGAGAGCGGTAGATTGCATTGCACTCGTGAATAAACTACAAGTGGGCAGACAAAGACAAAAAGTACTCATAGAGTCATAGGTTGTTAGTTCGTTACCATAATAAGAACATATAGTATTAGTAACAAGTAGAATGGACCGATTAGTTACAACTACAAGTATAAGCCAGTTTGTGGGAACAAATCAACTATACGAGTGCGTTGTCCTTGAAAAATTCAATTGCTAATAATGAATGAAGTCAAGAAGTTGTTGGCTCACTTGAATTGAGGTTGTTTTTTACCGCCATGTTTATCGGAAAGTGAGGTTAAGATATTTGAGAACCAGAAGGAGGCTGATGTTGCAAAAGCAAATGCAGAGCTTGCTGCTCTGAAGGCCGGTTGGTCAAAGTCGGCTCAGTTGCCAGGAGTTGAGGCTGAGAAGGCTGTTTCCCTTAGAGGGGCCGGAGTACAAGTCGAGGTGGAGAAGAAGAATGCTCTCACTAGGACTGAAGAACTCAGGGCTGACCTCCTCAGTAAAGCCACTGTTGAGTATGACATCAAGGTACTGATTCTAATCAGTTTTTGCTAAACTTGCTAAGGGTATATGGTTAACATTTTGCTTTTCTTATCTAGTTCAGTTTTATCTACTAAGGTTATTAGCTGTTAATGGTTATTAGTAGTACAATGCAGTGAATGCACCTTAAAGTTGAAATGCTAACCAAATCTGGTAATGGAAATGTGAGCAGCATACAATTCTGACCCTGTGACACTTTCTGTTTGTTCTGTGTTTTGCAAAATTAAGCTTCTATCTGGCTACTATATCTTGTTGCTTCCTTCTTATCCAACTTCCAATGCTGTGAAAAGGTGTGCAAATTAAACGAATTTAAGGCCTGATCTTTTTACTGATCTTAATAAATACTTTAATGACAGTAGATACTAGTATCGGAAATAAATGTGTGAGTAGTAATTTTCTGTTTCATCTCCTTGAGTTACTTCCTGCTTTGAATTAACATGCTAACTTTTTATTACCAGGTTCAAGAAGCAAATAGAAACCAAGCTGAGGCAAAACCAAGCTGAGGCAGAAAAGGCATCAGCAGATGCAGCATTCTACACTTGCCAGCAAGGAGCTGATGCAGACCTCTATGGCAAGAAGAAAGAGGCTGAGGGAATCTCGACCCTTGCTCAAGCCCAAGGATATCACCTAAGTACCGTTCTCAAGGCCCTTGATGGAAACTATGCAGCATTCACATTGTGGAATGGAAATGGGTCTGGTGGATCCATGAGAGATGTGGCTGAGATCTGCAGCATGCTGCTGCCACTAGTGAAGAAGGTTAACAAACAGACTGGGCTGCTGCCTCCTGCTTGGCTTTGCCACTCTAACTGATGACACTGATTCTGTTGCTGCAGCTGCCAAGTGAGGTGGCCTTTGAATATACGAAACTTGATTCATTAGGGGACGAGTTATTCTATACAGTTTGTCACTAATTAGATGCTAGGTTATTGGAACATCATATTATGATGTACTCTGGTCTGTTTTGTTTGTATGCTTTATACACATACTTTCTTAGAAATATTTTGCTAAATTCAATCCATACATAATACCATATAGTTGCAAATTACATCTGTTTATGATTACAGTTTGCTCCTGCTTTTGTTATTCTTACATAAACTCATCTAAATGTTTGTTTGTGGCCTTTTTGTCTAGAACAATATCTAAAAAACAGAAGAAACATTGTGCGACTGTATGACTCATTATACAAGCTCTATAGCGGGAGTGTGTGCCCGAGTCTGCAGTTTATATACCATATAATGATCATATGTTCTGTTAACTGATATTTATTTTCCTGAAAAACCAATATGAACAGATCACGCAGAAGAATGTTTGTAATTTGCACAACACCCTAGAAATGCAAGCAAACTACTCAAGTATTAGCTATGTTGCACGTGGAAAATTATACAGCACAACAGAGGCGTAGTACTGCTTTTGTTTGTTTATTCTGCTGTTCCAATTTATTCAGCAGTAGACCAAAACTCGACAGAGGTTAAACCTAGCCAATGACAACAAAAACACATCACCTCACAAACAAATTGAGAATGCTAATAGTACTCAAGCAAGGTCTGAGGTTTGCGAACTTATGAGCCAAATTCTATAGTTTGTAAATAATAAATACTTTATACGTTATTAACACAATCAAGACCTGACAGAATTGCGAAGCCTTTCAGTGAGGCATTACAATAGAAGGGTAATTCTTTTGCTGAAAGTGCAACTCTAGACATGGTTCTTGAGGAACGTCACAACTATAAACATGGGTATTGGAGTCCATTAAATTCGAACCACCTTTTCAGCTTCCTCAACACTTAACTGGAATTCCTATATCTAATCTCGTAGTTGGCATATGTTGATCAGGAACTGCAGCCCCAGCTTGAACACACAATTCCACCACTGCACCTCCTGACCATATGTAATAGCTTCGAAGTTCCCACTTCATAGGAAGACCATTGACATCCGGAATATGCCACACATAGTTTACTTTGATGTCTGTAATCAGGAAGGAGAACCTCCCGATGATGAGGAGGGAGATGATTCTGAGATACTAGATGAATTGACGACTAGTCGAGGGGAGTTCATGATCAGAGCTATGAGCTTTGATAATCCTCAAGTGAGAACTAAAAGTGCTTTTTTTTAACTTTATCCTGTACTTTAATAACATAGTTGTTCTTAACCTCTTTTATTCATTAATCATTTCTCTTGTGCCTATTCCAGATTCATCCTCAAGCGAGTACTAGTTCAGAATAAAAAATACAGGCATTGTATGAGGCAGGTGGAAAGGCGGTGATAACGAAGATGAAGATGAAAGATGGCTTCAATTCAAAAGACATTCGGAAAGATTTTGCATCAGAAATTTTAAACCTTGAAAAAGAGGATCAAAGAAATATGTGAAATTTAATCGCATGTTCTTATAAAAGCATGCAGACTGGAGAGGAGGAATGGCACAAAATTTTTAGTTGAAATTCAGAAAGATGAGGAATGCACATACAGTACAAACTCAAAAATTAGTTAAGTTAGCAAGCTTTACGAATCATTGTAGAATATTGATAGGAAATTCTGTAAAAAAAAAAAAAAAAAACTTGTGCAACATTTTTGCTGTGAAAGGTAAGAATTTTGAAAGCTTTATCTGTTTCGTTATCTAAATTTTGTGTCAAATTACCATATATGGGAGACACATTGTAGTCTTCTTACCTCCATCACATGGAAGTCCAGGCCACATAGATTTATATTGGCGAAGTAAGACTCGATTTGCGACAAGGAAATCTAGGCCTTAGCGCATCAAACATCTAACATTAGTACCATAAACAGCACCCTAATAGATAGAATTTAAAACAAAAGTCCACACAATGATAATATAAGGCCATAATCTATCACATATTAGGCAATGTTGCCATTCTCCGAGAAACAACGGTACAAATTGAGTGAAAATGCCACCAAATTAAACTTCCTATTTCATGATTCATTGCATACATTGTTTATTTTCAGGAAGAGTATATTTTACAAAGCTTAAAATTTCCTTCCAACAATTAAAGTCTTAACCTATTACAAGATGCTATTCAAATTCCGATGTGCTAGTTTCAACCAGTCCTCACAAAGTTGTATAAAAACCAATCCTCAACAGTGGGCTACTACACAAATTGCAAAAATAAATCACATGTAAACAATTTAACTACATGCAACATTGCAACAACAATCAAAGCATGTAATGAAAAAAAAAATCCATTAAAATGCTACGGTGCACAAGCAAAACCATATGACAAATGATGCCGAGATTGTGATTCCATCAGACGACTTGGTAGTTTTCTGTGCAAAGCTGGGTTCTTTGTGAAAATTTGGGAGGAGGTCCACCTTTTAGAGGCAAAATGTTGGTAACCTGCACAATCACAAGAAAATAAAAAACAAAAACTAAATCAGAACATAAACAAAACTAGAATCAGCAGCCCTTAACATATAACTGATAAGAAAAGAAACCTGAATCAATGTTTACTCTTACAAAAAACAACAAATAAATTCTAAAAAGTATTGACACAAATCATATATTTCAAGCCCAGCATCAACATTGACTATATATAATGGTGTTTGGTATTTATAAAAAAAAAAAAAAACATACCTTTAAGTCACTGAATGTCTTTGTAGCAGTAAATCGCACAGAGATGGGAAAGAAAGCGGATGAGTCTGCTGCAGGCACAACAAACTCCAGAGCACCACTGCAACATCATAAAAGATCAATATTCAACATTTCAACTCTTTTTTTCTACCATAAAACATAATTTTCAGTTGCTACATTATCTTTCATAAGGAATGCAGATACTACTCCATAGTAAAATATTCACCTGCGATTAGAGTCATCAATCAGAACAAGGGACCACTCCAATACAGAATTTCTGGGATCATATCTGTTAAAGAGATATATGCAGAAGTGTAAGTTTCCAGAACTGTAAACATATATTGGACCCCAACAACATGAAAAAACTACAGCAATGCCAGCAGAAAGCCAAATCATCCATGAGTAGGAATACTGACTGTTGAGTGTTGACATATTTAACCAAGATTATAAAAATTACTTAGTATCATATTAATCACTTTCACTCACCTCCAGTCCCCCTCAATTTGCGTTACATTTGGTGCCTCTCTAAGAGCAGGAAGGGGTACCGAGATAACAACATTTTGTAGATCAAACATTGTTGAAGCTTCATACTCAATGCTGACGTAAGTATCACTTCCAGAAATGGAAGGCCAGCAATTGACTGCCATAAAAGATAAATCATGAGAAGATGAAAAGCAACAAAATCAAAAATCCCAGGTGTAGATATTATAGAGATAAGTATGCAAAGCAATAAACTCACTTGTCAAAGGAACAGCTGTTTCATCTGTACTCTGCATTCTCCACCTTAGAAGGCCAACACCATCTCCTTGGCCAGTGGGAAAAGGTCTGTTAGGATCTTTAAGACCCAAAATACCCTCATTTGAATACAGCTCTTTGTTGATGTTAGGGTGCGTTTTGAACAAGACACTAGGATTGCCACCAGACTCGACCTGCATATTGCATAGCAGACAAACCATTTATAGCAGAAAGCATGATATCTAGCATAAATAGTTTAAAAATTAACGAAGCATATGCAACTTGAACTACTAATAAATACAATAAACCAGAACTAATCCTGTTATGGGGTGTTTGCTTGGAGGCCTATAAGCTTGGTTTATTATTTGTAATCCCAACCACTGGCATGAGACTTTTTTGTTGGGAATGGGACGGGGATTAAACCCCACTATCCCAACAGATTAATATCTAGGGAGGGGGAAAGGGAGCATGTATTATGAGTGGGATAAGGGATTGGAAACAAATTAACCATGGGAAGAAACTTAAGGTATTATAGTAAATTTTATTGCTTATTTCCTAACTTCATCACATGCCAAATTAGAGACTGGGAATTCATTTATGAGATATGGTCTTGAGGGGGGCACTAAGACTTGGGAAGGCCACCAAGTAGAAAAGTAGGAGCAGAAAGAAGTACCTGAACTTGGATAAAAGCATCTTTCTCCTCAAGAATCTGAAGAGACAGAGTGCCTTGTACATCAAAGTTACTGAGACTTCCATCTTGTTTGAGTGTCACATTGAGCTTCTCCTCCACAGTCAATGTTAGAGGATCAGTAGGAGGTGGAGCAGCAGCCTTAGATTTGCTTAATGTTGGTGGGACATCCTCAACAATCATTTCACCTTCTGCTTTCAGGGATTCCAAGAATTTGTTTGTTCCTTGTGATTTACCAAGCTTCATACCAATATTCTGTGGAGCAGAAACAGGAGCTGCTGGACGACCTGATACCACCAACCAAACAAAGAGAATCAGCAGTGGTAGAGTGAAAATCAGGTCAACTCTTTACCAAGAATAATAGAACAAACCAAAGAATACATCATGTACAGAAAAAACATCATACAGGCAAGATCAACAGTTAAGACTACGATTCATTTATGTCAACCTTTGATATGACAGAGATACAATATCAGCAGCCTATATCAGACCCCAAAGAACTAGACCTTAATGTATACAGTTGGCAGTACTTTCTAGATGTGTAACAATTGGATAGCCATATACTTCTAATGATGCAATTATTGACAACAAACCAACATCAGAGTCAGAAATTATAAAGTCAGCTTTAAAAATACTTCCTCTGTTCCACAAATATTGCAACAATGATGAAATTACGCATCCCAAAGTACATTTTATATGCTAAATATCTATAATTATATAAGAGTAAAAATTATAAAAAGTTGGTATTGTGAAAGTATTTTACGAGACAAATCTAGCAAGGCCCCACATGACTATATTTTACTTTACGTATAAAACATAATTTGTGTAGTCAAACAAGCATGATGAATAGTGTAAAAGTTCAATTGTTGCAATATTACTAGAACGGAGGAAGTATGAGAAAAGTGTGTAATCGTCCCTCCACATTATATATACTTCCTCCATTACTTTTTAGTCAACAACTTTGACTTTTAGCACTACTATTCACATGTTACTTTGACTTCATTGCGTGATTTATTCATAAGAAATAAACAGTCTTGTTTGATTCGTCTCAACATCTATTATCCAAATATCAAATTTTTATACTCCCTCCGTTAAATATTATCTGCAACTTTTGTAATTTTTGTCCGATCAGGGTTATGTGCAACTATCTGTTTTTATTCCATTTTTAGTAAACAAAAACCCTTAAAATTTAATATTTACCCTTACTTAAAAATTCTGATTTTCTTAATTTTGCCCTTAACTTAATTTAACCACATTAACCTAAAACTAATCAAATTTCCCTAATTTAATTAATCCCTCCATTCACTACCAACCCCAACCACCAATAATTTCAAATTCTTCCTGATGAACCTCATCCATTCATCATCCTCTTCGTCTCTTCATCTTCTCCAATTCATCCTTCATAACAATTCCTCTCTCCTCTTCGTCCTTCGTCTTCTCCGGTTCCTCTCTCCTCATCATCCTCTTCGTCTTCCTCTCTCCTCTTCGTCCTTCATCTTCTCCAATTCATCACCCTCTTCGTCTTCCTCTCTCCTCTTCATCCTTCATCTTCTCCAATTCATCATCCTTCACTCTCCAAATCGGGACTTTAAACAGCAAATCTGGGTTTTCTGATTTTGATTTCATTTTCCGAGTTTTGATTTCGTCTTCCTCTCTCCTCTTCGTCGATTTTCTGAGTTTTGGTTTCAATTTTATGGGTTTGGATTTCAATTTTCTGGGTTTTGATTTTCAAGGTTTTGATTTCGAATTTCTGGTTTTGATTTCGAATTTGTGGGTTTTGATTTCGAATTTTCTGGGTTTTTAATTTCAAGATTTCGATTTTCGTGGGGGTGGTAGTGGTGGTGGTTTCGTGGGGGTCGTAGTGGTGGTGGTTTTGTGGGGGTGGTCTGAGTTAGGGTTGGGTCTTGGTGGCGTGGGTGGTGGGGTGGTCTGGGTTAGAGGTGGGTCTTGGTGGTGGGGTGATCTGGGTTAGAGGTGGGTCTTGGTGGTGGGGTGGTCTGGGTTGGAGGTGGGTCTTGGGTTGGAGGTGGGTCTGGGTGGGTGGTGGGGTGGTCTGGGGTGGTGGGGTGGTCTGGGTTGGAGGTGGGTAGGGCTGGTGGTGGTAGTGGCTTCGTGGGGTTGGTAGTGGTGTTGGTTAAGGCGGTGTTGGCTGACCTTTGCCACTTGATTACATTCTCTCTTCACCTTAATTACATGCCACAAGTTACTTAACTTTCACTAATCTTTGCCCTTTAAAATTTGCATTGGCAACCGTAAACTGTACTTTAGTTGCAGATAATATTTAACGGAGGGAGTATTTTTTGTTATACATAATCAAAGATATTAATATTTGAAATTATGCATTGGCAAACATGCCTAAATGAAATATGTCAAATAATTGTGACACAGAGGAAGTACAAAATACTCGGTAATTTTTTTTTTAAAAAAAAAACTCTGGCTAGCTTTCAATCAACATGAGAATCACCCCAATGCTTCTAAAGAACCACCTACCTTAATTACTAGAAGGAGTCGAATATTCATAAGGAATCACAACCTTACCCTTACCTTGATGATACTGTCAAAAGATTAAGTATTTGAGCTATCAAATAAAGTATCTGAATCATACCTTTTGGTTTGGTGGAGAATGAATCCAGATCAGTTGACGGTCCAAACCCAGAATTACTGCCAAATCCACTAGTGCTGCTAGATATGCTCATGTCACTGAAAGTACTTTCCAGTCTTGAAGAACCCATGGACGACATGTAATTACCTTTGTCACCCCTGCTCTTTTCCATCTGCCAAGGTCAAACATCGTTTTATTGACAAACTTCCATGTATACAACAATCCAGTTGCCCGTCTATCACTGATAGAAACAGCATAGAGGCAGGGAGAGAGGCAAAAGAAAATGATACCTTGTTTTTCTCAATTTCATTAGCTTTGCGCTTCATTATATCCTTGGTTTCATTAATCTTACTTGCAATCACCAGCTTGTGCAACTTCTCTTCATGACTTTCCATCTCACAGTACTGTTTCACCTGTGCAACGGTGACAGTTTCTTTGTGCCCAAGGGCAATAATTTCATCAAAGGCGAATATGAGCTCAAATGCTGCTCTACATATTCCTTCTTCATCCAAAGAGTAAGCATATTCTGGTACCTTTGTATGCTTAAGGAATAACATTCATTAGACAGTAAGATTTAACTACCACATCCAGCAACATGAAAGAGGAGGAGCTTTACAGTACTGAAGGAGCAATAGAACACACAAAAACAAGAATAACAGCAGCACGGACATGCACACATGTAAGAAAGGAAATCAATCTAATTTCCAGCAATTCAGTCAACAAAAATTGAAGTAAATTGTGAGCTTATAGTCTGTGAGGAAGCACATATGAAGGATACAAGTTTAGAAAGCATCCGTAAAGTCTCCAAGTCCTCCAAAATATTACTTTGCTTGTTAGTAACCACAAGCAAGAAAAGAGCTTCAATAGGTTGGTAAACGTATCGGACATTTTCAGTCTCAACATAAGTATGCTGCTTTCCAGTCCCAACCAGCTTAGGAAAGGCAGCAAGGAGGCCTTCAATTCTTATGCGACTCATGTCCACAAATTGCCTGGAGACAAGAGCTGCAAGGAAGTTGGAAAAAGAATTAATGCCACTACAACAAAAGTCAGACGTAAACACAGAAACAAAGTTTCATCAAATACTCTAAGACTCCCTGCAAAAAAATTATGCTTGCAACATCTATTCCCATACTATCCACAAACCGTGTCCTACGATACCTTCAATGAGCAAAGAACAGAAACTAAAGAGCCAAAAGCATATTTTAGCTATATGCAGGCACTAATTCAAATCTAGACTAAGCATCAATAGTGAGATTCCTCCAAATCTGCATTTGATTTATAATTTAACTAAAATAAAACACAATGCAAAAACTTCAAAACTACAAAGGATCTATGGGACTGCATACATCATCAACATAAAAAAAAGCTCAAGGTGCACTAGAGCAATAAAGGTCCTTCTGCGCCTATGTGTGTCCCTTTGTAATGAGGTGTACAATATAAACTATAAAAATTTACTGAAGTTGTGTGGGCACCACTAGAAAGTTAAAAACATGAGAATTGTGGAAAACTCAAAGATATATAACTGAAAAAGTAATAAAGAACTGGAGTATGAGACGTCTGAAGACAATAGCTTGAACTCCTTTTTTTTAAAAAAAAAAAAAAAAAAAAAACACCAAAAATGCAAACAAAAAAAGGCGCATGAGATTCAATGAATGCATGCTAATTGAACAGAGACACGTATCTTACCTTTGCCAGATTTACTGATGATGGAGGCGGCAAGAACAACCTGCATCATCAAGAATCATACAATCAATCACAATGCCAGATAAAATATGCAGAAAGAAACTTCAATATATAATTTGTCACATCACCTAACAAGCTAGCAAAATCCTGTTTGTCAATCACACAATCAGGCACTCTGATGGCCCCAAAAAAAAGGAAAGAAATTCTCAACTTTTCTTCACTAAATAAATAACGCAAAGGTACTCGATTCCATTTCATTTACCCCCAGATACCAAAACAACTTAAGGATGCGCTCCGCAAAGTGAAGGTCATGTGCATTATATAAAATGCTTCAACTTTCAACAAATTGAAAATAGAATGTGCACAACAAGGAGAAATTTAACCCCAATTCTAGTGCACGTCGTACAAGAAGGCGAAAGGCGAACAATATAGCTAGAGATCGCAATAAGTTATAATACAACGGTCATTCTTGTCTAAAATACGTATAAAAGCAATATTACTTGCACACTAAAACCTTTTTAGCAGCAGAGCAGTATCGGATGTTCAACAGATTTAATGTGATGCAAAAGTAGACTTCATATGCTGTTCGGTTGAGTCAAACAGAAACAATCAAGATAATTCGGCTTACTACCATTTCATAAGCTTCATCCAAAATCACTTCGAAATCAAGCAAATTATAGATAAACGCAAAGGCCACAAAACATTGGCAATTTCATGCAATAAAAAGGAAACTGCAAAGAATTTGACTTACCATGATTACGCCTCACAAAATCCCAAAGCTCAAAATCAATTGAAAACGAACGACAAATTCACGCAAACTTCCTGCAATACAATGTCATAAATTAATAAGCATAATTTAAAACCCTAACCATTAGCAATGCAGAAGATCTATAAATGTAATCTCTAGATCACCAAAACAATTGAAAAAAAAAAACACCATAATCCGATTACAAATCACAAATGCAGTACCAAATTAACTGATTTACGATATATTCCGGAAATTTCTAATCCAAAAAACCCTAATCAAACAATTTTGATCAAATTAACACTAAATCAAACAAATTCATTTGAAAATCACAAAATTCAAACAATACGAAGCACGAAAAATCAGATCCAATAAAACAATCATAAATATAATCAATCAAATCAACAATGGTAGATCTCAAACTGAAATTAATTCGGCGAGAAGAAGAAAAGAGGAGAGAGAAAATGGCTTACTTGAGATGAATCGAATCGGAGGGTGGAGAAATGGTAGATCTCCGAGCAAAAGAGCGAGTGTGGAAGAAAGAGAGAGAGTTTGTTCAGAAGTGATTGTGAGATTTGGAGCTGCACCTTTTTATTATTTTGATTTTCATTTCTATTTTATTAATACTTGTATTGTACATTTTTTATTTTCTCAGGGGTGTTTGGTAAATAGGAATTGAGGGTGGGAATCGGACTTTTAATCTCAAATAAAAAAAAAATCTCTTATTTGTTAAATGAGATTGGGAATAAAGAAAGGAATGGGATTGGGAATAAATGGGGTGAATTCCCACCAATTTATTATCTATGGAGGGTAGGTAATAAATGGATGGAAATGAGAATAAGTGGAAAATGACATTTTTGCCATTAATGAAAAGAATGGAGGAGAAAGACTAATAAGGGTAATTTTGTATTTTTGTTATTTATTCCCCATCTATTCCCATCCACTACCCAAACAAAGTATTGTCATATTCTTATATATTTCCAACCATCAATTTGAGATTTGAACAGTTTTTGAGTAATTCCACTCTTCGTTTGAGATATGAACAGTTCTTGAGTAATTTCACTCTTCGAGTTCGGGTACACGAATTACGAGGAGAGTTGTGTTAACATTGGGGGCGTGCATCATCGGGAAACCTGTACCGACGGTGGCGTATTTCGCCTCTAATGCACTAGATTCTGTTCTGCGGCACAACTGTACTATTGAGATCATCAATCGAGATTTTTCCCTTTCATCTTCTCTATTTGTTATTCGAATCGACAGGTATTTTACCAACAGGAGCAACCTCTTGGGGACAATAGTTTTTCCAAGTTTGCTCAAGGCCAAAAGGAACAAGTTTAGCAAGGTTATGGGCTACACAATTCCCATCACGTTTCACATGAGACCAACTAATAGACAAAAAAATTGAGCACAAATCAAGAATATCGCCAAGGACAGTATCAATCTCCAACGATAGCGAAGCCTTTGACAGCCTTTCTATGATGATTTTGCAATTTGACTCCAAGATAACTTCCCTGAACCCGTATCTCTTTCCTCAATTTAAGAGCAAATAATAAGGCCTTGGCCTCAGCCACCTCTGGTGGTGGTTTATAAAAAAATGCTTCTTTTGATGGTTATAATAAAAATACATTCATACAGATACTCCCTCCGTGTTTAAATAAATGAAACGTTTTCCTTTTGTGGTCGTGTTTAAATAAATACAACGTTTTCTTTTTTAGCAACTTCTCTCTATATTTTTTAAATAACATTCTCTCTACTTTTTAATAACATTCTACTACTAATTAATGGTCCTCACAAAACCCCTTATTCTCTTCTCTCGCCTCAAACTTATCCCCATTACCTATTATTTTAATAAATAAATTCAACTAACCTTCCTAAAACTCCATAAAAGTTAAAATGTTTCATTTATTTAAATACGGAGGAAGTATTAAATAATGCCAATTTATTATTATTATATCAAAAATATTTCTTTAATTATAAATTACAAATAAATTTAAATTTTAAACGTTTACTTCGAGATTATTTAGTTAACTGAAAAAAATAGAGCCTTACAATGTACAAGTAAATAAACATACGCTACTTCCTCAGTCCCTATTTTTTTTTCCCCATTTGACTTTTCATGGTCTCCAACGCGTGTCTTAGAACGCATATAACTTCATTTTTATATGCGTAAAAATTATAAAAATTTGATATAAATAAAATATACAATAAGACAAATCCAACAAAACCGCACTTGATTATATTATCTCTTATAAATTAATGAGAATTTACGGTAAAAGATTTTAAATTTTGACTCATTTTTTTGGAATGAGGCAAAAAAATAGGGACAGACTGACAGAGTACTCCTAACACGAGAGGGGAGGAAAATGGGCTTTGGTTGGAAAACGGATATTGGACTATTTATCGATTTGATACCGGGGGCCCTTCAAATAAATGGGCCCTATGCCGAGGGCCTTCTTGCATATCCAGCCATGTTCATGCATTTGACTCAAGAAGGTGCTTAATCAGCGTAGCGTGTTTGCTACTTGAGATCATGGTGCTACATGCCTACATGGCTACATGCCTCAATAGTCAATTTAACAATTTTCCTCAAGTTTTTTCTAACGTGAGGAAAAGGGTGTAGTTTGAAAAGCACTAGTGCTTGGTCTCGATCCTGGTCCCAGCCACGGTCTCGAACCCAATCCATATGTTTATTTCATTTGTCCAATATAGGTTCTATTACTTAACTGACTTTTAATTAGGTGAAAAAATTGATAGATTAGATCAGAGTAAATTTTTGGAACTACTCCTCACATACATGGTATGTGAAAGCAAAGCGATATGATTCAGCCTAAACTAGTTATAGCACGAGATAAAGTTAAAAAAAAGGACAAATCAAGAAAGTAGAGCAAACAAAAGAAAGTGTTAAATACAAGTACTTCATAGAATATCCACTTATATTTATTTTTTTATTTATTTGCTACTTATCATGCAAATGTTGCGATTTAGGTTAAAAGCCGCAACACACATAGGCTTTAAATGCTTCGATTTTTGGCTTGAACCTTAAAGTTTATTTAAGGCCTCTTATGCTAGGGTTTTTGGTTTGAACCGCAACATATGAACTACCAACTGCTATGATTTTGGGTTCGAACCAAAACATTTTGTGAAGGGTGTAAGTGTTGTGCTGCTATGGCTATTGGCCAACAGTATACATGGCACAAAAATACAAAATTAAGCATTTAAGCCCATTTCTTACCGTGTATATAAGGTCTTTTTCCACTAGTGTAAATGTATGTGTGACTATATTGGGTAAAAGTACTTATTTCTTTGGTTCTTTAATGGTAAACTCGTAGTTAGAAATTTAATTTAATCGGTACTTCCTTTGTTTTATATTTGATGACACATTTTATTTAGACACGTTTTATTTGTCAATACCTACTTTATAATGCGTATTAGCAAAAATTATAAAATTTTGATATTTAAAATATAGATAATGAGACGAATATAACAAGACTTCACATGACTATATTTTTTCTAAACACAAAATCACAAAACAAAGTCAAAACAAGTTATGTGAATACTGCACAAAGTCAAACCGTGTCATCTAATTTGGAACAAATGAAGTATATTACAAGCATTTCCCTATAATCAACCACTAGAAATGTTAGTTTAGAAAATGAATAACTTCCTTTTTTTTAATTTTTTTTTTAAGTTGTTAGTTTGAATATTCTATTGGATAAGAGAGAAATATTGAGCATGAGTAGAAGTCAATATACTCTATTAATTCCTGAATTACTAACACAATCAAATATGACACATTTGCTTATGCACTGGTTTGATAATTATTACCATAATTAAATATTAGTAAAAAGAAATTTAAAAACGGATTGTGAAATTTTATGTCAATTATTTTACCGGATAACATTGATTTTGGATACTCCATTAGGAAAAAAAAAAGGAAATTCTACATGGTGGTTTCATAGTTTTGAGTTTTCTGCGTGGAAGACGGAGCTTTTTTGAGCTCTCTTTAGTGGCACCAAGATTTAGAAAAATTGACCATAGTGAACTTTTTTAGGTTTATGGCTAACCTTTTTGGTTAAAATGGTTAAACTTTGTTTTTTTATTAAAAAATTATTTAAATTATATTTTAAAATAATAAAAATTAAAAAAAAAATAAAATTCCCAACCACCTATCCCCACCCCTAGCCTTGCCGGAAACCGGCAAACCACCCCTCTTACCGATCGAAACCGAACGGATGGATCTATACACCACCTTTAACCCATCTCTGACCTCCAAAACCACCAACCGCCAACCTTGACCCCCTAAAACCACCTAAAGTCACCACGCGCTCGTCGGACTTGTTGGTGGTTTTTGGGATCGGGGTGGCTGGGTAGGCGGTTACGGGGGTCAGGGATAGGTTAGTTGACCTTTTAAAAGGTCGGCCGACGAGTTTTGGTGGTCAAGGGGTGCGGCCGACCAATTTTCATTGAATTTAGGGTTCGCGGTGGGCGTGGCGGTTGTTTCGTTGGACTTCGAGTTGTTTGGGGATCGGGGTGGCGATTTTGGGGGTCGGGGCTAGGTCGGGTGGGGTTGTGGAAGGTCGGACGACCAGTTTTGGTGGTTTCGATGGTCGTGGGTTGGGCTGGAAGGTGGTTTCGGTGGTTGGGGGTGGCCGAATTCCGAGCAAGGTTAGGGTTTGCGGGGTGGCTGGGAACTTTTTTGTTTTTTTTTAAATTTTTTTTATTATTTTAAAATATAATTTAAATAATTTTTTAATAAAAAAAATCAAAGGTTAACCATTTTAACTAAAAAAGTTAGCCATAAATCTAAAAAAGGTCACTATGGTCAATTTTTCTAAACCTTGGTGCCACTAAAGAGAGCTGAAAAAAACTCCGTTTTCCACGTAGAAAACTCAAAACTATGAGGCCACCATGTAGAATTTCCCAAAAATAAAACAAACTAAAATCAGAGTTAGTATATGAACAATGCAGAAAGTCAATCAAACAATATCGGTCATTCTAAAATGGAGATAGTATGTAAGAATTAAAATACAATATTTGTGTTTTCAGGATCTTGTTGGAATCATCTTAATGTTTATTTGTTAGTTCAAAATATTAAAATTATATATATATATAAATAATCATGTATACATTAAAATTTGTGGAAATAAAACAAATTTGTTTGGAGAGCACATACTTGATATATGTTTGTACTTTTTTGTAATGACATTCTTGTAAATAATACAAACTTTAATCATCCTACTTCTATTTACTAAAACATATTAAGTAAATTATAGCGTTCAGTAAATATAGTTTTAATAATCAGTAAACAAAAAAAAAGGTAATTTTATTCAATAACATAATACTAAAATAGATACCAGGAATGACACATGTCACTTTCTGGGGCTGCTTTCACTCCAACACTCCCCTCTCCCTTTTTAGCAAAAATCTTTTATTTTTTGAATATTTGGATAATACAACTATAATAATATATTATTCCTAATCGTATATATTATCTTTGTAATAATTGTATTCCTTTTTATTTCGTATTCTATTTACTTAAAATGGTTACACAAGATTTTGACACCTTTTAATCAAGGGAGAATAAGCTATAATTTAAAAGGTTGAAAAATGATGGAGAGTATAAAATAGTGGGGCAAAAAAAAAAAAAAAAACAAT